TATTTTGTAAGGACCCTAAGTATCTATATGCAAATGTTCAAAGCTAGTAGAACTTTTAATGATACTCTTAGGAAAGGGTATTCTAGTCTGTCTTGCCATAGGACAAACTTGACATATGCAATCATGCTCTATACTACAAGAAAACATGTCCTTAACATGATGCATCTTATTAAAGGGCATATGACCAAGTCTTAAATGCCAAAGTTTGGCTTGAAATCATACCAGTCTTGACAGATTTATTCTTCTGCAGAGATTCACCTCCATCATCACTACTAGAAAACAGCTAATCAACGACGGAAATAATCCCTCGGAATAGCCTAAAATTCCGTCGAAACTGCCGGTTTTCGACGGAATTCCGTCAGAATGCACCGTCGTATTACATTTTGTAGGAATTTAGCTATATTCCAACGGAAAGGAGTTTTTCGATGGAATTCCGACAGACTTTTTCCGTCGGAAGAGGAATTCCGGCACTTGTAAAAATCCGTTGGAAATCCGAGGGAATATAAATCCGTTGGAGAATTCCGTCGAATTTTCTATCAGAAACTGCAGGAAAAAAAAAAACAGAGCACCACCCCACCCACACCTAAACCAGAGCACCACCTAACCCTAACCAAACAGTACCCACCCAGACCACCCCCACTCACCACCACACCCACCCAGACCACCCCTACGCCCACCCAGACCACCCCCTGAAATTGAAGAACAAAATCCAAAAAAAAATTGAAGAACAAAATCCAGAACTATATACAAAATCCAAAAAAAAAATTGAATATATACAAATATATACAAACCCAGGAAATTGAAAACATAGAAAAATTGAATATATACAAATAAAAAAAATCAGATCTAACTCACAAATTGAAGAACAAAATCCGAAAAAAAAAAACAAAAACATATACAAATCTAATACAAAAATTTTGAAAACTAGATCTAAAAAAAATATCAAACCAAATTAATTGAAAGAAAACGAAGACATACCTTCAATTCTACCGAAAAAACGTCGAATTTAGGCTTTAAAGGTCAAATTCGACCATGAAAACTCTATAAAAAACACCATAATTATTTGCTTGTTGACGAAAATCCGAAAAACCCATACAATTTGTTGTCGAAAATTAAGGAAGAAAATAACCAAGAGGAAAGAGAAGAAGGAGAAAGGAAAGAAAAGAAGGAAAAAGGAAAGAGAAGAAGGAGAAAGGTGATGGAGAAATGAAAGAGCACCGAAAAAAGAAGAAGGAGAAGAGAGGAGAAGAGAGGCGGAGAAAAGAGGAGAGGAGAGAGAAATGAGAAATAAAAGGGGAGGGGGATTCATTATTTAGGTTTTTGGTTTTTTTTTTTTTTTGTTAAGTCATAAATCCGTCGGAAGGGCTTTAAATTCCGTCGAAACTTTCCGACGGAATTAAAATCCCTCGAAATTTTCCTACGGAAATTAATATGTTCCGACGGATTTTTTTCACTCGGAATTTATAGCTTCCGACGGAAATTTTTTCGAGGGAAATTTTCGTCGAAAGCAGTAAATTCCGAGGGGAAAAAAATCCGTCGGAATATTTTCGAGGGATTTTCCGTCGCAACCTATCTTTTCTGACGGACTTTTATGATAGACCCAAATTCCGTCGGAAAAAAACGAATTTTCCAACGGAATTTAAGTCCGTCGGAAAAATTCCGTCGGAAAAATTCCGTCGGAATCCGACCTATTTCTAGTAGTGCATCTACATCATACAAACCAGACTCTAGCTTACGAAGAACCAGGGAAGAGTTATTGAGAGGATCCTGAATGACACAGGTATCATGTGTAAACTTATTATCACAGCCAAGATCTATGCATAACTTGTGTGTGGATATTAAGTTGAATTGAAAACCAGGTGCATGTAGTACATTTTTCAACTCAATTCCATTTTAAAACTTAACATACCCAATGTTTTTAACAACCACTTGTTTCCTATCTGCTACTGTTATAGTGTTTGGATATTTGTATACTTGTGATAAGAATCAAACAGATCTAAGGATGAGAACATATGATTTTTGGCACCACTGTCTATTATCCACTTAGTATTAAAATAAGTCAGAAGACAAGTACCTGCTACATAGGCTGAACGTGTAGAGTTTTTTGTGTACTTTGATTGCGTGCTACCTCCAGATTGTTGATCCTCTTGGTTCACCAGCTGCAGGAATTGATTATACTGCCCCATAGAAATATGAGTAGTCTCATTAGAATTCTCATTATCATTCTCCTCATCTCCATACACAATTGCTGCAATCTTCTTCCCTTTTATACTTGTTCTGCCCAAAGTTAACTAGATATCCATGAATCTTGAAACACTTTTCAATTGTGTGTCCTGTCATTTTACAATGATCACAAAACAGTCCAGAATTTCTTCTCATGTTAGGCACAAATCCAGCATTACTAAAAGTAAAACTGTTGTTAGGCCTCAGTTGTCTTGTATATATTCTGAAACCTATAATTTCCTATAGGTCTAGGAGCTAAGTAATGCTGATTATACTTCCTTCCATCAGCTGCAAAAGCCATAGTACGTGTTGTTATCATATATCATACTCACTTGCCTTTGCTTTTCCTCTTGCATCAACAACCTGTATGCCACTGATATGTTTGGAAGAGGCTACATCATCAGTAAATTTGTGATCACACTAGCATACTTCCCATCCCATTTCATCAGCATCTGCACTAGTCTTTCTTCTTGCTGTTGCTTCAAAATTTTCTGACTCAAATTACATGTGCATCCATTACAGGTACAAACTGGTATTGGATTCACTCCACTTATCTCATCCTAAAGTGCCTTAATCTTAGCTCATTCAAGGACTGTTGTAGAGTGTACAATTGAGTTCTTGAGCTCTGAGAGTATCTCTCTTCAAGATCCATCTAGATTTCTCTTGTAGAAGTAAAATACATGATACTCCTAGGCTCCTAGCTATAGTACTATCTATGAAGATAACTAGTAATCATTGCATTATTGCAATTATCCCAAGCTTGAACCTTAGGTCCAGAAGTTGGCCTTAACAGTGATCCATCAACAAAACTCAATTTATTTTCGGCTCAAAATGCTATAATCATACTCCTTCTCCATTCATTATAGCCTTCACCGGAAAACTTCTCTGAGGAATGAATGAAATATACACTAGCAGGATCACTAGTAAGAGCTAGATTGTTTATTTCAGGCATTTCGAAGGTTTTGATTATGAAATTTAGAAGCAATTGAAGCAGTTTAGGTTTTCTAATTGAAAACAAAAATCGAATAGAAGAGACGAATCAAGAATTTCAGATCACAAACTGAATTATCACAATCAACTCCAATCAAACAACTCTAGAAATCCAGAAAATAAGCAGAACAATACTCAACCAATTCAATCAAAGAACTCTCAAACTTCACCAAAAACGAGCAACAAAATTACAGCGGAATCAACAAAACAATTCTAGTGTATGACTGACCTCCTCTGATACCATATTGAAACAATAATCAAGAACAACATAATTCAAGAAACTCCATTAATGGCTAAACAAGCTTCAGTTGCTTTTACAGAGAGAAAATGAAGTAAAGAAGAAGAAGAAGAGAGAGAAAAATTTTGTAATTTACAGATAGAAGCTATTTAAAGCATTTAATACGAGAAGCTAACAAAATAAAAGTTTGTTATAACAAACTTATTCTGACGTGGAGGATGAGCTAGCAGTAGCATTAGTATCTGTTATACTTATGTAACTAGTAGGGGTGAAAGTTAGGTGTTTGGTTTGGATTATGACCCAAACCGAATCCAGATTGAATTAATTCGATTTTAAATTTTTTAAACCGAATCAGATCTGAAAAGAAATTTAAAAATCTAATTCAGTTTCAAATCGAAAACTGAATTTCTGAGGTTTTTTTCCAGATTGTTGAAAAAGTAAAATAAAAAAAAAAAACCAAATTTATAATTAACATATCTAAAAATAATAATAATAAAAAAAAAAAAAAAAAGTAATACAACTATGATAATGAATAAATTATATGGATTACAACACTAAATTTACAAAAATATTATTATTTCGATAAGATCATGCAAAAACACAGCTTGTTCTTCCCAATTGACCTTAGTCCATATATATTTTTCTGAAAGATAATCTTTTAATACAATTATAGAGTATATAAAAGATAATCAAGAAATTAAAGATTAAATTAATCGTTTAATCTACTATAAGAAGCTACTATAATTTCCTTACAGAAGGCACCAATACTTTCCTTCCTCAAATTTGGGTACGAATGCCGAAATAATGCAACAGCAAAACAATGGGTGGGTACCAATAACCCCAGAAAAGTCATTCACAACTGCAACAACAACTTCTTCGTATGAATCCGGCCGAAATATGAGACTACAAGAGAGGAGAGATGATATGAGAGAGGAGAGAGATCAGATTAATCAACGATGATGATGATGATAAAGCTGAAGGAAAGAGGGAGAGGCGAGACTATAAAAAAAAGTGAAATTTTTACCGTAGTCATTTGAAATATGATTAACATAATGTTTTAATGATTGTATAGTTTCTAATTGATATATTTTTTCCAAGTAATTAATATATTACTTTAATAATGGTAATAAATAGTATTATCAACATGTTTTTTATTTATCAAATTTTTAGTTTCATTTATGTAATTTTTATTCTTATTTTATAGTTTCTCTAAAAATATTTATTTTATGTTGGATTAAAATTTTCAAAATTTATATTTATATTGTACATATTATAAGACTAATTATGAAAGCTTGTGAGTGAGTGATTGGCATTACATTGCTTGTATTGTCAGCAACATCAAATTAAACAACTGCATTACCAAGCATTAAGTAGATGGAGAATTCATTACACAATCAAACCCTAAAAAACACTCCAAATTCAATTCAAGTATACAAATTAAAAATCAAACTATTAGAATGTGTAATAACCATACCCAATATAGACAAGTTCCAATAAAAAATCAATCTTTAAAAGCTGTCAGAATCATTACCACTCATACAGCCAAACTAAATGGTCAATAGTCTCAATACCCACAATCTTGTAAGTAATTCAAATAATTTACCTTGTTCAGAGCTTCAAGTAACAGTGATTCTGCTTCATCAAAATTTCCCATATGCATACAACAGACAGCCTTGCCATTCAGGATCAATCCAGTCATTGAATACTTCTCAGAGAAATCCTGGAAGATGAGATATGCCTCCTGAATCTTGGAACCTCCCTATAACAAAGAAAACGTATCTTTAGCGATCAACTCATGTAAATTCATGCAGTATAATTCCCCTCAAAAAGTTGAAACCAAGAAAGCATGTTATGGAGGTTTTTCTTAAAGCTAACTCTGCTATGTTAGGTATAGCCCCACATTAATTAAGAAAAAGAAATACATGTAGCTCGGTCAATTCTATTTGCAACAAAGCAGAAATTTCATGTTCATGTATACATGAAAACAGAACAGGTTCACACATGACAGGCAGGTCATGTCAGCAGACATCAGCATTTAAATGATGTGCAGATCATGTACATACTGGTAATTTAAGCAACTGACTCATAGATAGTAAGGCAGAAATTAGTACTTTTCATTTTCTCCAGTTTTAGGCAGAATAGCTGTCAGTAAGAAAAGGGATTCCAAAATCCATTATAGTTTTGCAAAGTAAATTCTCACCTTCATCGGGATCAGAGGAAAGGAACCCACATGGGTAATCACTTTCATTATCAGGCCTGCATAAAAAAAAAAAAAAAAAAAAAAAAAAAAAAAAAAAAAAAAAGAAAAAAAAAGCTAAGTTAACAGTAATCAAAATTATCTCACTAATGTATAAAATGAGCAGAAGGAGAGTATGAAAACAAAAAATCATAATCGCCTACTGCTAGAGTGCTTTGTGCTAGCTACTAAGAAGCGAATTTTTTGTCTTTGTATCAGAGACCCTCATAGTTATGTACAACTACATTCACTAGATTTTGAGGTGAATTTTTGAGTAATAACATAGAATTAAAACAATAATGTCAAGGCTAGAAGAGTAGTTCTGATATACAAAGTATAAAACTTAGTTTCAATTTCAGTTCCATAAATTGCTTACATTAATTTACAGAGGTTAGCTATTTAGCTGACTGTTACTTAGCTAACATCAAACAAAAAATGATATAGAAGTTCCCTTCATCTCTCTATAGCTTTCTCCATTCTCCCACTTCAGTTTAATCTTTACCCACACTACAAGGCATCTCAATTTCAATACAACTTAGACGACTACCTATTGATGTTGGCACAATGTACTACGGAAAATCAGACACTACGAGCAAATCTATAAATGCAAAAGCTCAATTAGTAACAAGACCGCCATAAAGGGAAAACAAACCAATGAGAAGCATCCCACTAACTTAGCATCCAACTAACACTAAATGTAGCCCTTTTATAAATATGAGTAATACAATAATACAGAGTACTACTCAGCTTAATTCGAAGAATCTAAACTAGTAAAGATACCAGGCAAAAAAAAAAAATAGTGATAAATTGATCAAACTTACCCTTATCAGTAGTCTTCATTAGAACAATAAGACCCTTAGAGTTTCTGCTGGTGTGATGAAACAAAAGAATTACACTCAGTTTTATAATTTACAAATAGAAAACATAAAAATGACTGTATGATTTAGACTCCCTGACCAACACACAACCTTCCTATGTCATTCGTTCCTGCAATAGTGGTCTTTGTGATTGGGACACGCTTTGCCAATATTTCCCTAATTGATTTTGGTGTGGCGATATTTGTTCATGGAATTAGAATTGACAGTCTTATACTATAATTAGTATCTTCAGTTGAAATGACTATTAGTAATCAATCTTTTTGCGTTTTCATACCATAAGTTGTACACCAATTTCCCACTTCTAAAGAATCAAATTGACCTAGAAAAAAAAAAATCAACCAATAGAGAAAACACCAATATTCTATTCACTATAGCAAGAATTTAACTTAGTTACGCAAAATAAATTTTAATTCTAACTTAATGCCATCATATTCTACTTAATACAGATAAATTTAACTCAATGGCATAAAATAAATTTCAAAATTTTCAACATATACAATAACAAGAGTTCACGAATTATATATTAACAACAATAATGTATGTACACAAATTGAAAGAGACCTGACGAAATTGAATTGCATGACATTCTTCCAATTAACCCTTAATTGGAAAACCCTTAATTTCTTCCAATTAACAGCCTCGAGAAATTAGAAAATCCTTAATTTCTTCCAATTAACCTCAATTGGAAAAAATCACTCAAACATAGAACAAATTCACGAGTAAATCCATTAAAAATAAATCCAATAACACATGAATAACACAACCAGATTCGAAAACCCTAAAACAACAACAAAATCAACCAACAATTCATCAATCGCAAAGAAGATCAAAATCAAGAACAGCTAAAAAAAACAAAATCAAAACCAAAAGGAAGCGAAATCGAAGCAAACCAGGAGCAACTTCAATGGAGGTAAGAAAGCTCATTCGGCTTCAATGGAGAATATACAGCACGATTCAATGAGAAGGCGGAGGTGTTGCTTCAATGGAGTGAGAAAGCTAGGGCAATTCGGGATTCTGGATAGAGAACAAAGGTGAAAACGAGAGGGAAATTAAAAGTACAGAACATGGAAAGAAAGAAAGAAAGAAAGAAAGAAAGAAAGAAAGAAAGAAGAAGTAAAGCAGCCCGATTTTTATTTGTTTTTATATTTCGTGATTCGCACCAGTTTGAACCGGTGCGAAAAATATGATTTCGCACCGGTTTATTAGGAACCGGTGGGAAAAGTGTTTTCCCCAATCCTGCCCATTTCTTTTCCCACCGGTTTTCAAGAACCGGTGCGAAAAGTGCGCTGCGTAATTCATTTTTTCTACTAGTGTATGTTCCAACAAAATTGAATTTGGCGGATTACTTCACAAAGGAAATGCCAAGACATTCCATCATATTTGCTATGAATGGAATGGGTTTATGTCCAAATAACACAAATTTGTGAAATCCAATCTAACGCTTGAAGAAACATCAAGTCTTAGATTCAATGTGGTTGAATCGCATTTTTTATGTTTGTTAGCAAATATTTGATGACCCATATTGCTATAATACTTGTGATGTGTGAGGTAGCGTCATTTAAAAGTTCTCAAAGATTTAGAGTTGAGAAGCTCTAAATGTAAGTGTCTTGTCACAAGGGCACATTCACGTATATGAGAACCTACCTATATAAGTTCAAAGTTTAGCTGCTTCAAAAAGTCTAGATGGACATATAGAGTTTGATGAACTTATGAAAGATACGGACACATGGCTGTATAAAAGTGTCAAGTGATGATAAATTCGATTTGTCTTGTGTGTACTTCACCTTCGAATGATTAGATATATCCGTGTGATTCAATCCGTATGGAAATCATTGGATATGATCATCGTTAAGTGTGTTGTACTAGGTGTCAATTCAATCCGAAGGGACATTGACATTGATGCATGAGATATGGTTTAATTGTAAGAAGTGGAGAATGTTTTAAAGGAACACTCTAAATGGGGGAGGATTGTTGGAATATTTAGAGTGTTGATGGTTGCGCGCTCGCGAACCATTAGTAGCGCCCGCGCTAGGTACGCGCGGCCGCGCTGAGGTCGCGCCTAAACCGCGGACCTCACTGGAATTAGGATATTTGGAAGGGTGCAGTTGGCGCGGCCGCGCGTCTGGTAGCGCGGCCGCGCGTCATAGATGGCACGCCCGCACCTGTGGTCGCGCCTAAACCGCGTACCACTCTGCCTTCCTTTTTGAATTTCGCACGTTCAGGAGAGGCGCGCCCGCTCCACTTTGAGGCGCGCCCGCGCCTCCTGGTGGAACGCCCGCGCTAGTCTGTTTTCGCGAAATTCTGACGGTTAAGTCTTTAATAAAAGGCTTGGTTTTCTGAGATTGGAGAGACACAGAAAATTATTCTTCTTCTCTCCCTAAGTATTCTTCACAATTCCTCACAAACTTCTTGCAAACTTTTGTGAGAAATATCTTCCAATTAATCCTATTTGTGAATTGATCATCTTTTCTTTGATTCTTAAGTGCAAAGAATGTTGGGCTGTCTTTTGTATCTCAAAGAGTATTTCCGAATTAAACCCAAGCACCATTGTGGGGGAAATTAAACTCTTTAGGAAAGTGTTTACACGCCTAAGACAATGTATCAAGGAATTAGACTCAAGTGGTCACCGGTTTTCTCATGTTCATGTTGGTTGTTAAGGTTTGGAGTAGAGGCAAGTATATTATCTTTCATAACTAGTGTTTTCATTGTGTTTTTTCTGTAATACTTTGATAAATTGGTGTTTGGTTGTAATACATTGAATTGTATTTGGATTATTGTATAATTCATTATTAATTATACATAGTTAGGTTTTGTTCCCACAATTGTTAAATTAGTTCTTGTTGTTGAATTACTTGAAAATCTAACGGTTATTAATAATTAAGAGAAGACAAAATTATCCTAGTTCTACTTTCTCAAGCAGTCAACCATAATTGGAATTACAAGTTGGTTGTTGATGGTAAAAAATAATAAAAACAAGTGAGCGTTGAATATTGGTCAAATATGATAAGTAGTAGAATTAGAATTGGCATCGATGGTTTGTTGTTATAACCAAAAGTATAGGCCATGATATTCAATTCAAAAATAAAAAAAGAGAGAGAAAAAGAAAAAACAAGGGGAGGAGACATTTAATTCCTCCTTGAAAATTGAAATTCCAGCTCAACAACCCGGTTAGATCGGATACAATTTGTCCTTTTTTTTTTTTTTTTTTTTTTTTTTATTTTTAAATTTCCTCATCTTTAAAAAATCCCAATTCAACTAACTTGTTTCCGGTTTTCCCAAATTTTATTGTAAATAACCCCCCTCGAAATCATTCTTTTGGATGAGAATCGAAAGAGAGAGAAAGAGGGGGAGAAAATCCCAGAATTGATGAAAGATTAGATAGATTTTGTTTTGTTGATTGATAATATTGATACGAATGAATGATTAATATATATATTGATTGAATCGAATTGAATAAAAAAAAAGGAAGAAAGAAGAAAATGGGGAATGCGACATCAAATATAGCAGCGAAGTTCGCATTCTTCCCACCTGAACCATCAACATATGATGTGATTAAAAAAGAAGAAGAAGGAAGGTGGGTTTTATCAGGAATAACATCTGATAAAAATGTAGATGTTCATGTATTGGATACAAAGAGTGGTAATAAAATTGTGGCCACTTTCTGGAAACATCCTTTTGCAAGGTTCACCCTTTTGTATTCTCATGGCAATGCTGCTGATCTCGGTCAGTTGCAAGATCTCTTTATTGAGCTCAGGGCTCACCTTCGTATCAATATCGTCAGGTTTTTTTCTTTTTCTTATTCTTTTTTTTAATCTATCATTATGTATCAAAAAATAATTGTTTCATTAATTAATATATTTAATTGTTGGTTTAATTTGCAGTTATGATTACGCAGGATATGGAGCTTCAACTGGCAAGGTATGCATAATATCATTTACCTAGCTACGACTAGTACTGTTTGTGTTTGATCGATGTACATGCATGTGAGTAATTTATCATGAATATGCATGTTAGGTGCGAGTAATTGTACAACACTTGTATTATAACTAATGTATGTATGCACTATATGTTATGGCAGCCAACCGAATATAACACATACTATGACATTGAAGCTGTTTACCATTGCTTAAAGAGAGAGTATAACATTAACCAGGAAGACTTGATTTTGTATGGCCAATCTGTTGGAAGTGGCCCAACATTACATTTAGCATCACGCATGACCAGGTTAAGGGGTATTGTTCTTCATAGTGCTATACTTTCTGGTATACGAGTCCTCTATCCTCTCAAGGTTACATTATGGTTCGACATTTTCAAAGTACGTGCTCTTTTTTACTCACTGCCTTATTTTCTAGCCTACTTTTTTGTAAAAAAAAAAAAAAAAAAAAAAACAAAACATAATCAATGACTTGCTTCATCATCGTATCATCTGTTCCATATATTTGCAGAACATTGATAAAATCCGGCATGTCACCTGTCCTGTCCTTGTCATACATGTAAGCGCGCATCCATTATTGCCTTCATTTATTTCATCAACTTGCACTTAAACTACTTATTTACTTGGCTTCTTCATACTGTATAATGTTGTAGATTTCGTTAGATATCACCAGGCTTTAAAGTCTCACGTACGACATTTCTGTATTTATAATCACTTAATCAGGGTGTTGATTATACTTAGATGATCCCGTCTCTTTGGGTTCCATGTAATTAATCTTTTGTTTCCTCTGATTTTTGAATGACGACTCTTTTAATAATCTGGAATTGATCTTTACTCCAATCCAACCTTTATAGGATTGATTGGTTGCATTAATACACATGTGTAAATAATAAGAATCCGGCTGGATCAACCATTTAACCTTGCTACAAAACTGCCCTGCCTTAATTGGAACTCATTAGAGGATGTATCAGTAATTAATACCTTTTTTCCATAAATTTCTGCACGATCTCATGCATCTTATGGATGTTGCTTGAATATACGAACCCCAAGAAATTGATATTATGTCTTAACGTTGTCTAGTACCTGGTCAATTATATCTTAACATCCTTATCTTGTCTTTCATTGGTATACGTATATGCAGGGAACAAATGATGAAATTGTAGACTTGTCGCATGGGAAGAGACTATGGGAACTATCAAAGGATAAGTATGAGCCACTATGGGTAAAGGGTGGGGGTCATTGTAATCTAGAGACTTACCCAGAATACATCAAGCATTTGCGTAAGTTCATTAACTCGATGGAGAAATTGGCCATCACTCAGCCACATAAGCAGCTTACTGAGGCCCCAAGTATAGCCGAATCCAAGCACTATCGATGTCTAGGATTCGGTAGGAGGTAGCTATATAGGGTGGAGGTGACCATGTTAAACTGAAATAGCATCAGTTTTTGTATGGGGTATTTTTGTGCCCCTGGTGTGCATGGCATCAAAAAGATCTATAATGGTACAACACTGTACTGTTGCGTGTATGTGCTTTTAAGGCAAGTCCCGATGTAGGTTTTCATCATGTGTCATATAGTTAGTGTCAATGAGTGTATAACGATGTAGTTGGATGTGTAGATTTATTGATAGGATGAGCAGAAGTTTGATTATCATGTTTATGTTGTAGTGCCGTTTGGTTGAGTTTTACAGAATTCATATAATTGGCCCTTATTGTATGTATTCTTCCTTGTAACTTAGCGTTAATTAATTTGGCTAAATGTACTTTTAGATCCATGGCTTTGAAAGTGTGAATCGACTAAAAAGGTTTCTAAGTAGCTAGTCAATAGGTGTCAATTCGAGTGTCTGATTCGGGTTTGGTGATGTAACACCCCGACCCCAAATCAGGGTGGGGCCTATCACTAGTAGAAAAAATAAAATAGGCACCGCAAAATGTACACCGGTTTTTAAAAATCGGTGCGAAAAAAAATAGGTGGGATTGAGGGGAAGACTTTTCGCACCGGTTCTAACCAAACTGATGCGAAAGCTATTGTTAAAAAAAGTATAAAAAAAAAGAGACCCGGCCATTTTTATCTTCTTTCTTTAATTTCTCTTTCTGTCTTCTTTCTTAATTTCTCTTTCCTCGATCTCTCCTCCTCTCTCTCCTCAAACAAACCTTAATCAACAAAGGAATCAGGAAGTAGACGAAGATGAAGACCTAGATTGAACGTCGTTCTTGGCCTAAATTCGGTGATGCTGTTCATGAAGAAATCGGTGCTCGTCAAACTATGGTTTCTACTGAAGAAATCGGCCTTGAACGACCTGTTGCTCCTGGTTTGCTTCGATTTCGCTTCCTTTTGGTTTGGATTTTTTTTTTTCTGTTCTTAATTTTGATCTTCGTTGCGATTGATGAATTGTTGGTTGATTTTGTTGTTGCTGTTTTAGGGTTGTCGAATCTGGCTGTGTTATTCATGTGTTATTGGATTGATTTTTAATGATTTACTCGTGAATTTGTTCTATGTTTGAATGATTTTTGCCAATTGAAATTAAGGGTTTCCTGATTTCTCGAGGTTGTTTGTGGAATTTTGGGGGAATTGGAGATGGATAGGGGTTGTGGTGGTGGTTTCGTGGTTGCGGTGGTGGGTGTGGTGGTTGCGGTGGTGGTTTCGTGGTTGCTGGGTTGTCAGTTTTATTTGTGGTTTGAATCAAATGAATTCTGATGTTTGATGTTCCGGTGAGTTGCATACATTTTATGCTTAACCTAATGAATGCAGAAAGACTAATTTGATTTTTTGTAAACCAAAATGCATGAATTTTAAGAGTATTATTGACTCTAATCTCATTTCACTATTATCATAAGGATGCTTTCAGTCATTGTAGAATTATAAATGGCATTGGTCAATCAACTAAGGATGAACAGAGTGAAGTTAGGATATGTGAAATAGCAATGTATAATAGCACAAATTCAATCACTCTTGAATTGTTGTTAACTTGTTTTTATCTAGATGATCAACAGAAGTCTCAATTATTGGTCTTGGCTAGGGTTAATGGATAGCTGTTGCACTCAATAAAATAAAAGAACAATGAAATTGACGATGTACATATATGGATGCAAGGTGCATCCAAGTTTTTTTTTTTTTTTACTCATTTAATTTTAATAATATATGCTCGTTTAATCATTAAATGAGTACAAAAATAGGAAATTTTGTAAAAAAAATCCTTGAAGGTGATCGATTTTGTGAGAAAGATACTTATATAGAAAAGGTGCCAAGGTGGCAAAAAATGTCCTTATATACTATATCACCGTTTAGATTGTAAGGACAGAACCGAGTTTCGATCATTGACTTTATTTTACGACCATTGACCATTGATGTTCAGCACATGACTTTAAAAAAAACCTTTTTTTTGGTCTTTTTGTTAAGAAAATAATGCAAATTTTCTATTTAATCAAATTTGAGGGAGAAATAAATTACATAAACAAAATGTCTATTTATACCAAAGTGCAAAAAACACAACCCCTCTTTTCTCTGAGTTATTTTTCTTCTCTCAGATTTTCTCTTGAAATTATTGCATACAAATGAAGGAAATGCTCAATTTATAGTTTTCCTAAAACAACCTAAGCCATTTAAAATTTAGCCTGCAATATTTATTACCATTAGTTATTTTTCCCTATATTTGGAAACACCTTTAATTTTCAATGGTAATGCATGGTTATTTAATAACCATTTATTTTTTTTCTTTATGTTTCTTAATTATCTGCCAACAATCTCCCACTTGAAGACTGATTTCAATCTATCTTCACACCAAGGAGTAGAACCTCAACTAGTCTTCTATCATTTTAAGACCAATTGATGTTGAGCACAATTTCAACTTGTCAATCGTCACTGTTTTCGTTAACATGTCTGCTGGATTCTTACTGCCAAGAATCTTTTTAAGAGTTAACACTTCATCTTCTAGAAGAGACCTGATAAAGTGATAACGAATACCGATGTGCTTTGTTCTTGAGTGAAACGCCGAATTCTTTGCTAAATGTATAGTGTTTCGGGGTTTTCTGATGTCCTGCGGGAGAGTTACAATTCCGAGACTGGAACCGGACGCCTGTACCTGCAAAATAACGGAGACTCCTGGTGGTGGGAGCTCCGCCTCCAACGGTCAAGTTAGTACTTGATTAAGGAGTAATTAATGCGGAAATTAAAGTGAGTGGGTCTCTCTAGGTGAGAGTGTTTAATGTGAGTTTTTAGCGTAATCAGCCTGTAACTCTGTGTGTAATCAATGTGTTTTTTCCGTAATCCCCCCTTAATGAGGATTAAGGGAGGTATTTATAACCTTGGGAAACGTGCCAATCCTAGGTTTAGGTTAACCTAGGGCTGATTGGGCTTCCCTCGGAAGTTGGGCCTGGGTGGCCGGTTTCTCCATTAGGCATGGAGTATGCCACGTGTCATGACATAACAGGTCCAAGGTGGACGAATAAGCGTGTGCCACGTGGCATGCCTTGACAGTTCCATCTGGGGGACACTTGGCAGGACCTGATTGGCCCACGTGGCGCATTCCGATTGGTGGGAGCAAAATCCCCTAATCATTTGCCCCTCACAGGTGGCACGTGACTGGTCACGTGTTACCTGTGACAGGTGGCGCACTGTAACAGGCGACGGCCTGCTACAGGTGTCAGTCGGCGAAAGGCCGAGACATTTTCCCGCCCAAATTTTGAATTCTGAAAGGGACCCTTCGCCTTCTCACTTCGCCTATATAAGGGAGAGTTGTCTTGAGTCATTTTCACACTTGAGAACTTTGTGAGAGAACATTCGGACCCCTGAACTTGCTCTGACATTTTGGACCTTTTCTGCCTACCGCCTGTTCTGACAAGCCGACTGCACAGGATTTTCAGCACTTCATCAATCGTCACTCGTTCAGGTAACTGTCGGTTCTCTTACTCTTAATTTTCTTTTTATTTTTTGAAATGGCACCACGGAAGCACACGACACGACCTAGGTTAGTGATCAGCCGGTCACCGGGGACGGCATAATCTAGGACTAGGAGTGCCGCCTGCCCTTTTCCGGACCCATCTTTGCCCTTTATACAAAGTCCGACTGTATCTGTGTCTATGCAGAGCAGGATGGCCAGAACGAAAAAGACAGCTAGGATCTCAAATTCAGACGGCTCCTCCCACAGGGTGCCGCTTAGTGAAACATCTGACCAGGCGCCAGATGTGGAAGTGAAACAAGGCGGCCTGGATGCCGGCAATTCTGTGGGGGGAGTCATAGTGACCCCTTCCCATTTAACAGTTAACAAATCTGCTCCTTTTCAAAGAGAGGAGGCGGGCCCCTCCGGGAGAGGGGAGGAGTCGTCCTCTTCGGACTCGTCGGAGGACGATTCCGAGTCAAGCTCTTCTGGCCATGCTTCTTTGGGTACAGAAGAGAAAAACAGCCGCCTGCAAGAGGCGAGACTTTCTCACGCAGTTGAGAAGGGGGACAACTGGGCGGAACCATCCGCCTCTTACCGAGAGCTAAATACCCCCTACTACTGCACGGTACCTCGGGGCCGAATCACAGCCATGCAAGAGAAAGTGGAGAGCTTTATTGCAAACCACACCATGGGCCCCGATTTTCTAGTGTTTGTGCCGGATCCAGAAGACACAGTCGTCTGGCCGGCTGGTTCCAGTTATGATAGCGCCTGCTTTGGCTGCTACGAGGCGGCCATCAAGGCAGGGCTTCGCTTCCCATTACATCCGGCTGTTCAGCGGATCTTGGATGGGTATGAGTTGGGGTTATGGCAGTTAGCCCCAAACTCCTGGGTCAACGTACTCGGCTATGTGGCCGGGTGCGAACTGCACGGGGTGGAGCCGAGCTTCGAGGCTTTCGCCCATATGAACTATCTCAGCCGGACCCCTAAGGCAGGCGGTACCGGCTGGTATCAATTGACAAGCCACAGGGGCTACCTCATGACGAGAGGTAAAGCAAACAAGTGGAAGGACTGGCGGAGCACCTTCCTCATCATTGAGAGTTCAGACACTGAGCTGAACAAGCGCTTCAATAGGTGGAACAGGAATCCGCCCCTTCTTGCAGGCGGCCGTAGCATGCATCCTGTTCCCCCCAAGGCTAAGAAAGAGATCCTTGATAAAGGACTCTTTAAAGTAGAGTCGAGGGTCGACTCTACTTCAGGGGTACGAGAGCAAGTACCCTGCACTGCGTCCCGAGCTTCAAATGGCTCTACGACGAGTACTTTTTGGCCTCCTGTGGCCTCAGTAGTCGGTGCTCAAGAGGTAGTCGGCCTGTCGAATACTCTGTTGTTCCATACATTTCTTGTTATGACTTTTATTAACTTTGATGTTTGTTTTTGCAGCTGACGCCATGAGCAAAATTACCGCCTCCAAGACTGCGGCGGCCATGTTGCGGGCCTCCATCATGCAACAAGCTTCAACCGACTCCCCCAAGAAGGGGGCACCCTTGGTGAGCTTCGAACCTTTCACCCTCTTTTTGGAGTTGTGTTTATGCATATACTGACTTTTTTTTTCTTTTTTAGACGGGTGCTCCGAGAGCTTCATCTTCCCAACAGCCGGACCCCAAGGCCCGGAGGACGACTGTTGCGAGCTCTCCTGGTTCTGCCAGGAAACAAGTGGCGGCTGAGACACAGCCGGCCACTTCTTCTAAAACTCCAACTGGGCCGCCTAGAAGTATGAAGTTGTCCTTGTAAATTTTAGACTTGCTCCCTTTTTTACTAGGTCTAATCCGTTTGTTTATGCTTGATGCAGCCGGCCCTCAAGAGCCTGACTTG